CTCTTCAGTCTTATGTTCTCTGCCATGCTGATGGACGCCTACCGCGATGAACGCCCCGGGATCCGCATCGCCTATAGGACGGACGCTCAACTTCTGAATCAACGGCGGATGCACTTCCAATCGCGCATATCCACAACCACCGTTCACGAACTTCTCTTCGCCGACGACTTCGCCCTGAACACCACCTCGGAAGGGGAGACACAATGGAGCATGGACCTCTTCTCTGCCGCCCGCGAGAAAGTCGGTCTGGTCATTAACACGCAGAAGACGGTGGTGATGCATCAGAAAATGAAGATGCGATCACTGGGCCAAGAAAATTATTTGCCTGACGTTTCGGATTCTTACTCGAATCCATCATCAGAGACATTCGCAGATAGAGGTGAAGGTATTGGACAGGACAGACTACAATCAAAAAGTCAAAAGCTTGTTGGAGGGTCGTCAGTCCTATGTCCCATGCGAATCAAACCCCATGAAAACGCTGACACGCGAGACTAACGCGACGCTGTTGGCACTAGAAAACTCAGGTGAAATATCGCCAATCGACCGACGCATGGCGAGAGCACAAGGAACGGCCCTAGTCCGATTCTACGGTCTCCCAAAAGTGCACAAAGAGGACGCTCCTCTCCGGCCTATCGTATCACTAAAGGGCACTCCAACCTACGGACTGGCAAAGTGGCTGTTACAACGTCACCACGGTCTGAGAGGAGGTCGGTCTGAGAGTCAGGCTGCAATGGCTCCTTTTTAATGTGGCCTTTATGGTCAGTCGACCATGCCAGCCACCGCGCCCATTTCCCACTCCAATCTGCTGACCGGCTCGGACAGCGGCTGGGTGTGGGAGTGGGAAGGGAGAGTGAGGTCGACGAATCAGCGCAGTTTCATCACTACAAACAATCTGACGCGTTTGAAGCTATCACGGTGCGCTAAAGGCCGTGGCTTGGAAGGTTGCCAACTGACGGGGTACCTTGGACCTCCTCCTTAACTGTAGGCGGTCTGAGAGTCAGGCTGCAATGGCTCCTTTTTAATGTGGCCTTTATGGCATCCCCACCACAGTGTGGGATCCGAGGCAGGCGTCGGCGGCAGGTGCGGCTTCGGTCGTGCCAGCCTCCAAATCTCTGTTGTTGGTTGAAATCCTGGTTATTGTAGTGTGGACCAGGGGGTGTGGTGGAGCGCCAAGGTGAGGATCCGTCCGAGCCATCCACCTGCGGCCTCCCTCGTCTCCGGTCTTATTGACTTGGTCTTGACACGGGGCTCAGGCGGGGAGGAGGAGAGAACGTAGGTAGATGCTACGCAAGTCTACTGGCACTATAAACCCCTGCGTAAGTCACCGTACCTGCTCCCATCGCTGCTGCAGCTGTGGGGCACACGGTGGACATCACCGAAATCGATGGTTGAACTGTCAAGTATTTTCGTTTTTGACCTTACTGACGACTATTGTCTGCGTGGTTTCCTTAGATCGTATGAAGACGAATCGACAAATTTTTTTTATTCAGGTCAATATCCCGGCCTGCCACTTTTTGAAGTACTGAAATACCATTTTATCAGGACAGGTGGTTGGTTATTTAACTCGCATGCTATTTCTCTTATCATATCTGCGATTTATTTCTCTTATTTTATACGTCGTCCGCAATGAGATATTATGCACTATCCCCTAAAAATGATCCGTCAACACTGACATTAATCTTAAAAAAGAGTCCAACCAACATTTCGCAAGCCTATCTTTGGTCTTCGTCCTTATCTTCCTACACCTTTCTCCTCTCCTCGAGGAAGAAGATTGCAATCATTCACTTGTTTGTTACTCATTGTAAATAGTTTTCGATTTTTAGGTGATTTCTTCTAACTGTCCCCAATCAAGCCTTCTCACATTCTGTCTCTGTCCACTCCTTTAGGTAGAATGGGAGCCAGCGGCTGCGACTTCAACAGGTAGTCCGTCAGCCGCGCACTCTGTAAGTGGTTATTAGCAGCCGTTTTCTTGTGGTATGTCTTCCACACTGTGGTCCCAAATTTGTCGTTACACCGTTTAGCTCTGCTAGTCGACGGAAGACCCTCCAGGTTGGAAAACGGCAACGTCTACCACCATTTGATCTCCCCCAAGGTATGGGGCCATGCACAAGCGGGATTATAAATTTTCAGGGAATATCATTAATCATTTGCAAGTTCAGACAGCGTTGGCTGGAAAGAAATGTGCCCAGACTTCGAAATTTTATGAAACAAGTTAATAGTTTTGAATAACCAGACTACAGAATGTCCCTTGATACACTGATCAGACAGAATGCCTGGAATACGTCTTCACAACCACACTCGAAGAACCTGAACCTTAAGCATAAAATTAACCTTACAGCTAACCCTAAACTTGTCCCTAACATTACCCCTAACCCTAACCGTAATTCTAGCCCTAACCCCCAACCCAACTCCATAGCCCAAAGCCTTATCCTAACCCAAACTCCTAAACTGAAGCCCCAATTCTAATCCTAACACCATACTTCAAACCTAGTAGATGTACATAAACGCTAACCTCAAGTGTGCACCGTAATTCTCGCAGTAAGATCGAACCGTAAACCTAATCGGGCAGGGACAGGGTTTGTACCCGGAGCAGACCTAATAATATACAGGACTCACTGCTGCATTTATTTGAGTAGGTGTTGTTCGATTATGTTTTCCCCGTGTATAACTTAGGCCCTGGCCAACTCTACGTGTTTCACCGGCTTGTGCTATGGACCTTGCAAACAGCCGTATCGAGAACCAGGCGTTGCAGGAATGTCTATATGGACTTATTATTGTGCCCCCCACCCCGGGCGTGTTAAAAGTTATGCGAAAGTTTTTCCTCAACTCGTAGTAGTAGTAGTAGTAGTAGTAGTAGTAGTAGTAGTAGTAGTAGTAGTAGCAGTAGTAGTAGTAGTAGTAGTAGTAGTAGTAGTAGTAGTAGTAGTAGTAGTAGTAGTAGTAGTAGTAGTAGTAGTAGTAGTAGTAGTAGTAGTAGTAGTGGTAGACATAGAGGAGATGGTGCCGGCAAAGACAAGGGAGACCGCAATGGCCATTTCTGGCTTATTAGCCATCATCAGCTAGTCATACCAAACCCCTACTACTAGTCGCTGTGCGACTGTCTGCGAGGGTTCCAGTATGAGCCCCAGGGCCCAACGGAACGAGCATGTTCCGTAACCTGATCGGCGAGCGCCCACTGTCATAAGTGATATTCCCGATCACAACCGACAGGACAACGGGCCCGTGGCTCAATGGTAGAACGTCAAACTCCATGACCAAAGATCCCGGGTTCGAATCTCAAGTGATCCACACTTGGGGTTGGGTATGACTGGCTGATGACCGCTAATAAGCCAGAAATAGCTATTCCCGTGTCCCTTGTCTTTGTGGGCACCATCTCACCCACATATATTTGCTAGCCATGCCTCTTTACACCACCAGACTTGTGGCTTCTTTTTATACTTTATTACTGTCATTTAGCTTAACTTGTTAGATTTCCTTCTTTTTCTTCGTTTTGCACCTTTTGTAAGTCCTTGTCCGTTAATGTATATCATGGTATAGTTTCAGTCTGCCTTATTTGTACGTCGCTTATCGTCTGCCGCCAAAAACCATTGTCTGCTATTTTCCTTGGAATCTGAGCATCAGTTATTTAAGTGACGGCGGCTTATTCAGTTGCCTGGAATCCCCTGACTATCATTTTTCGTCACTTTTTCGAATTGTACGCTAACTTACCGTTTACCTTCTGAGCGCATTAGAAGGTTTTGGATGTAATTTTCTTTTCTATTTTCTTCATCTCCTTTTCCGTGCGTCCGGTGGCCCCTCCCGTATAACCCCTCTTGCCATCATTCCGGATAGACAGTCAGCTTAAGTTATCTGTTTCTGACCCCGGGTACAAACCATACCCTCGCCCCTAATAGTAAGTCCCATCCATTTCCCAAAAGCCCACTCCCCAGTCCTAATGCTAAAACGCAACAGTAACCCCAATCATACACCCTAATACCGAACTAACCCGTACCGCAATCCTAACCGTAACCCTAGCTCGACCGGTTCCGTAAGTCTAGCCGCTTATTCTGAATATAATTTCACAACGGTAATCACATACTTGATGCCCTACGGCTGGAACCCCATTCCAATCGAGAGCTGCAATACAGCCACCAAACTTACCGCTGGAATCCCACTCCACAGCGGTATGCGCATAAAAGGCAGTCAAAGACTAAAAGTGCTGATGTTATCTGTCCAACGAAATCACTAACAGTACGAAGGGGATAAGAGGTTGACGAACCCGGAAAGCATCTTAGAGCCTTACCGTAAAGAAGTCTGAAACACATCGTTTTTCGCAAGCATTGGCGAATTCAATGCAAAACACTTTGTGTCTGTGACCTCCACAACCAGGAACGCAAACGATATTCTTTTTGCTCCGATTCAGTGAAATCTTTAAAATGCAAAAAAGCCACAATTAGCCAGAAATCCGTTTTAAAAACATTGCTAAATACCAGACATCCGACGGTTTACTTGTCACGCACACAGGTGAACAAGGATAGGAACTCCAGCTCGATGTTCCGGGCAGGAAAACATAGCTGTTTGTTAATTACGAACACCTATGCTTCAAAACAGCGGAAGGAGTTTCACACAGCTTTCTGAGCTAGCCGGCAATGTGACTATCGGCAGAATAACACTGCCGACAAGGACAAGGGAGGCTGGAATGACCGTTTCTGCCTATATCAGTAGCCGCTGTGTGGCTGATGGCGGAACTCTAGATTGAGTCCCAAGGCAAATCAGGACAAGTGTGTCCCGTAGCTCCATCGGTGAGCTCCCCTCTACCATTGTGAATATACCCAATCGCAGCTGACAGAGCAACGAGTCTCTGGCTCAATGGTTAGGTTGCGGGATCAGGCCTCAGGAAATGCGAAAAAACCTGGGATTGAGTATGGGTGGCAGATGACGGTTAATAAGCCAGAAATGACAATTCCTGTCTCTCGTGCCCTTGCCGATAATGATATTCAAGGTGACAAGCCGCTGCGCGGCCGCTGGCGGGGCTCTAAATTGAGCCCCACGGCACAACGGCACGAGTATATCCCGTAGCGCGGTCGGCGAGCGCCTTTCTAGCGCGTGATTATCGATCCTTTTTCTCGTCTGTTCGTTGCCTCCCTACTGGCGTGATAGCGGTGGTGGCGACTTGCCCGTGCGGTTAGTCAGCGTGCAGGGGTGTGATTGAATATGTGCAGTGTCGCGTCGTCAAAGTGAACTGGTTGTCCGCTCGTCTCTGTACGACTTCAGCCTTCTCAACGTCAAGGTCCCTACAACTAACCTCTCCTTGTCATCCTGGTGATATTGGCATAGAAACCGGTGTGAATACGGATAAAATTGGAGACGTCAAGTGATCGCAATGGGATCTGGAATACATTCTCCTAGCGCGTATCATTTGAATTTGGAACTACCCCCCCTGAGATGAATTACGCATCGGGAGTTGAAGGTGTAGCCTCAGTGTAGTTTCAGTCACTACCATTATAAGCGACTTT